CCCAAACCCTATAAACCCTCCACACACACACACACGATACAGAGGACCTAATCTACTAAAACAGACCCTACCTTCATGGCCGAAATCCTAGAAATCCAGACCCAAACGCTTTTCGAACCCTGAAGCCTTCAAGAAACCTAGGGCTTATAGGGTTTAGGTTTTGTGTTTGTTGGTGTTTGTTTTTTTTTTGGGGGGGGGGGAGCTCTTTTGCAACTGCAGGTACAGTAGGGTTTATGGTTTAGGGTTTAGAGTATAGGAGGGCTCAGCAAAACGAAAACGAAATGGGAATTGCAGAGGCGCGCGCTTAGCGCGCTTGACCCGACCCCAGTCCGAACCCCGCCTCTGCCCGGATGATGCATTCCTAATCCCCAAGACTCGTTGAAAGCACAAGCCTGACACATCCCAGGTGTTTAGCGCACTGCAAACCATAAATCCTGACCCTAAACCCTAAACCCTGAACCGGAAACCCTAAACCCTAAACCCTGAACCGGAAACCCTAAACCCTAAACCCTGAACCGGAAACCCTAAACCCCAAACCCTGAACCGGAAACCCTGAACCCTACACACCAGAAGCCTGAACCCCTCGTGGGACTAGAAGTACCCCAATTGGGGTTGTAAGTACTTAGAAGTTTAGGGTTTAGGGGTTAGGGAGTTGCCTTACCCTAAGGGTCCATGTACCCAAATAGTGAAACATTGGCCCTAAAGTACCCATATAGGGACTACATTAAGGCCAATCTTGTACTATTTGGGTACATGGACCCTTAGGGCTACGTACTTATGTCCCGACATACTAAGTCCACCCTCATGCCGAACCTTAAATAACCCTAAACCCTAAACCCTGAATGCTCTGGGATCGTCCTGGCCACAACTTCGTAAGGCAGACATATCTGTCAAGATGATCGGGTTTAGGGTTTAGGGTTTAGGGGTTTGGGCCTGCCGAAAACTCGATGCTCTGAGATGCCTCATCTGAGGATAATAAGAACAGATTCCTGAGGGTTCCTGGCTATGCATATGCATCACTTACCCGAAACCCTAAAACCCTAAACCCTTAACCCTCAACCCCTAAACCCTAACCTACCCCAAAACCTTCTTCTGATGGTGAAAGCCCCTACATGATGACATGCTAAGGCCCTGAACCCCCATACCCTGAAATACCGGTGTTCTCCAATTAGGGTGGCTTTCAGGCAGTACTATGTTGGCGAGCTATAAAGGGACCCTACTTTAGAGAACTGCCCATCAACATATTCAATCTTTGAATACCCTAAACCCTAAACCCGAAAACCCCAAAACCCTAAACCCCAAAACCCTAAACCCTAAAACCCAAAACCCTAAACCCTAAAACCCTAAACCCTAAAACCCTCCAACCCTAAACCCTGAACCCTCAACAAGGGCAGAGCCTCCCGCTCCAATCCGCCCCGAGTTGCCCGGAAGAAGGGGGGGATCTTGCGATACAGGAGCTGGTACCTGGATTTCTGTCTGGGTTTACGGTTTAGGGTTTAGGGTTTGGGGATTAAGCATAGGGCTTGCAGTTTAGGGTTTAGAGTGGTGATTGGATTTCTGTCAAGGTTCTGGCCCTTTTCGATTCGGTGTGAAATGTGTTCTGCATGCGCAAGGGCTTAGCCTCGAGACTTTCAGGGCTTAGGGAAGAAAGCCGCCTGAATGCTAGGCACTAAGGCTGCACACTAGAAGCCTTTTCCTGGATGTCTAACAGAATTCAGAATGCCCGAATTCTGGCACAGCTATGCCCAGAATACCCAAGAGGGTTTCTGGTCCCGGCTTTCGGCTTTAGAAACCCTAAACCCTGAACCCTAAACCCTAAAACCTTAAACCCTAAAACCCCAAACCCCAAACCCTAAAGCCCTAAACCCTAAACCCTAAAACCCCAAAACCCTAAACCCTAAACCCTAAACCGCAAAACCCTAAACTCTAAACCCTAAACCCTACCCTAAACCCCCAACCCCAAACCCTAAAGCCCTCAACCCTAAACCCTAAACCCTAAAACCCCAAAGCCCAAAACCCTAAACCTAAATCCCAAAACCCTAAAACCCTAAAGCCCTGGACCCTAAACCCCTAAACCCTAAAACCCTCAACCCTAAACCTAAACCCTAAACCCAAAAAACCCAAAACGCAAAACCCTAAACCCCTAAACCCTAACACCCCAAAACCGCCAGAACCAACCCTCTGCCAGCTTTACTGGGATTTAGGGTTTAGGGTTGGCTTTTCTTTGGTTCCAGGTTTAAGGTTTAGGGGTGCGGTTCAGGGTTTAGGGTGTAAGGGTGTAGGGTTTCGGGTTCAGGGTGTTGGGTGTTCGGTGTGAGTTTTAAGGCCAATCTAGGTCATTCGGCTGCGTCCAAAGTCCAAAGCCAAGCGAATAACGAGTTCATGGGCCTCGGGGGTGCGGAGTTGTGACGACAGGCTTGTGTGAATCTCGCACGTTTGGGACGTATTTGGAGGCTAATGGGTACTTGTAGGGTTGCGAGCCCAAAAACCCGAAACACTAAACCCTATACCCGCAACCGAAAAGACTACCTAAGGAACTATATATAAAAACCATAAGAAGGAACCCTAGAAAGGTAGCTCTTTTCGGTTACAGGTAAACCCTAACCAATTATAGTTACAGAGAAGGACATCGTGGAGGCCTGCTAGTTCATACTGTTGATGGACAAAATCCTGCATTACCCATTATAAGGGATATACGATAATTCCCATATTTTAAGGTCCTTAAGGTCATGCAGGATTTTGTCCATCAACAGTATCATTCTCTTACTAGTCCATACCTTAACCCACCAGAACCTACTTTTTTGTAGGGTCTCTATAAATCCCATATTAGGGTTTATAAGAAGAACCTACAGAAAAGTGGGTTTTGGTAGGTTAAGGTAGTTCTATTTTAACTACTACCCATGAACCTCGCTAAACCCTAAACCCTGAACCCTAAACCGTACACCCCGATGTCTGAAGCTAGGAGCAGGATCAGGCCCAACGCCCAGACATCCCGCGCCGCATGCTGCATACCTGAGAAATTTGGCGCAGCTCATGTTTGTCCATGTTAGGGTTTAGGGGTTTAGGGTTTAGGGTTTAGGGTTTTGGGTTTGGGGATTTTGGGGTTTAGGGTTTAGGGTTAAAACTTTTGGGGTCTAGGGCTTAGTTTAGGGTTTTTGGAGGTAGGGCTTTGGGCTACAAGTCCCTGTTGCAAGACCGCAAAATAAGGTATGTGTTGGTGCTACAGCTCGCGCTCACGCCCTAAACCCTAAATCCGAAACCGCCTAAGTCCTAGTGTAGGGCTCACTGTTTAGTGTTTAGGCTGTAGGCTGAACGGCTAAGGGGCTTCTAACACTCTGCAAAGCAGCCCGAGATACACCTATAGGCGCAGCTACCTGTAGAGTGGGTCACTGCCTTCGGGCCGTATATACATGAATACATATATATATATATACACACACATACACCCCTTATATATACCCGTATGATGTGATATGGTAAGATATGAAATGATATACGTTATGAAATGATCTGGTATCATGATAGAAATCTGTAGTATCATATATATATATACATACATACATACATACATACATACATACATGCACACATCTCCACACCTACGTATACATACACATGTTGAAATACAGACCGGCAGTATAACTCTGATGATGTAACTGGGCAACTGGGCCAGAGGTTGTGCCTGCACAGCGCATCACAAAGTCCAACGGTGTGTTGCTGCAATCTTCCTCGGTCCTTTCAAAGGGATCGGAAGGAGTAGAGGGTTTAGGGCTTAGGGTTGTAGATGTCACGAGTTGCTGCTAAACAACGCAAAAAATCCTACGATGTGTAAGTCTAGCGTTCGAGGCTTCTGGCTTGCCATAATAACAAGGCTTTGTTGCGCTTCATATTTCTACCAGGTTTACAGGATTCTTGAGCAAGCGCCCCTGTGGAAACAAGAAACAACTTCCCTTCACCCTAAGCCGTAAACCCTAAACCCCTAAACCCCTGAACCCCTAAACCTTAAACCCTAAACCCTAAACCGAACACCATAATCCGGTGATACAGGCGCAGCAGGTTTAGCGTTTGACTGCTTCAGTTTTAACTCCCTCAGTACGTCAGCCTCGGAAAAAAAAAAACGTGCAGAAAGGATGCTGGAATCTTGAAGTCGAGTTCTGGGGGTTTAGGGTTTAGGGGTTAGGTTTTAGGGTGTAGGGTTTAGGGTTTATAGAAATTGTTAAGGGTTTGGGTGCCAAAAATTAGCCGAAAGTTTTGACCGAAAGTTTTGACCGAAACGTTTTGACCGAAAGTTTTTTTGACTGCTTTTATGTTTCGCGAATTGGG